ATCCATGTAATACCAAAAATATTCTTCCCCTAACATTTTAAACTGTGGGTGCATTATAAAAGTTGCATTCAATCCTTTAGCATGGATGGTGGGTGATAGGATGATGCTAACTGGTTGAATCGACTAATTGATAACAAAAAATACATAAATATGAAGCATTTCGTAACCTTTAACTGAGTTGATTTCTTTAAGAGGGGAACAAATCATGCACCCCCGGTATTTTTACATATGGCTCTTTAATTTCCTGTATGTGTAATAATTGTACACTGTTTTAGTTAGATTTGTAATTAACATTTGATAGGATGATTCCTCAATGTTGTTTGAAACTTGATTATATATATATATATATATATATATATCCATAATTTTCCAAGGTCACTCTCTTTAGTTATTTTGAGAAATATCTTTGAAATATAATATTAATCAGATGTTTTAGGAACTATGGCTAGACGACGAGTATCATAGGATTCACCGCGTATTGTCTACTTTAAATTAATCGCACGAGATAAATTGCTGTTTATCTAGATTAGTCGGTAAAACTTAAAAATCACAGAAGAATGTTACAGATGACTGGTTAAAACATATCTGACTGACTCGTAATACCTAAAGTGCAAAATGATAAAAATTGTGGTTATCGAATAAGTGACTATTGATGTCGTACAAATTGTAACCATATTGGATATATTACATTGCTTTTTATGACTATAAACAATGTATTGGTTAGGAGTAATTAAACCATACGAGATCTATAGGGCAGACTGCGATTGTTCTGTACTTTTTTCTGTATATTTCTAGTACTAATAAAACATAATTCTGTGGATAAATTCATGGAGGAAATTCTTGAAATAGTGAATAAAACACAGAACTATTACGTATATGTATAACCTTACTGTTTTTTGTGGCTGTTTTTGACTCGCAATCTGAGGGTCGGGGGTTCAAACATGCTAGACCTTTCAACCGTGAGGGCGTTATAATGTGACGGTCAATCCTACTATTTGTTGGTAAAACAGTAGCCCAAGAGATTGCGGCGGGTGGTGATGACTAGCCCAGATAGACCTCGTGTAGGATTGCGCGAAATTCAAAAGAAAACCAACTAATTAAGTTAGCTTAGTATACAATTCGGTAGTGGTGCGCATCGTAATACTCAAACCTTAACCCGTTCTGCATGGTTTTGATCATTTAAGATTGTATGGCCGTAATTTCTAGTTGTCAGTTATGGCTTGTCTGTGTCCTGTACTTACTACAACTTCTTGATACGTATATTTAATAGCTTTGAATGACACAAATTTTTCTGTTATATTTAGTCAAATGTCACAAATTTTTTCTTGTAAATTTCATGCTGAAAAACCAACTGTCTATGTCTTACAACTGTCATAGTTTAATCAGTTGATCTTTGGTTGCTAAACTTTGTAAAATCTGGAGTTGTTCTTTAACGCGGTTGGCCTATAGTAAAATTCTGGATTTAGGAAATTTTCTTTGAAAATCAATCTTGCATAATATCAGCGGTTTTTAGCTTTCTCAGTTTGGAGTAGATTGTGTAGATTCTAAATATAAAGTCCCATTTGAAAGTTTCGTGATTGCAAGCTCAGATGGCAACAAAATGTGGAAACTTTGCAGGGGGTAAATACTTTTGCAAGGCAATGTATATTCAGTGTATATTAGTATACACAAATCACAAATGTAATTACATGTAATCGACGCGTCAGAAGTCTCAAATAAAGTACATTAATTCAATATGCCATTTGCGTTATTTACGTCATATTTACATTTTTCGATTGAATTTTATTGCAGCATTACGCGCGAAGTTCCCCCAAAGCCCCCACCCCACCCCCCGGTTTTAAATTTTTGCTACATTTTCGTTCAAATGAAATTGAACTATCGTTTGGGAACTTCATTCGGTAATACTGATGCGTTGTACATACGTAAAGAAATCGTAAACAAAAAAACACTCCTCCTTTATACATGCATTCCACAGTGTAAACAACTTGTCTGAGAACAGCTGTTACGTTGCGTTACGAAAAATAAAAACAATGATAAACTGAAGAGGTAGACTTGTTTGTGATATTAGCGAAGGTCGCCCCTGTCTTAGATATTTTATACATGTGTGTGTCTGTACGAGAATACTTTGGTACGAATTAATTATTTACTTTTTAAATATATTATTAAAGGGTTTCTCATCTAATGTTATTAAATATATATATAATTTATCTTTTCTCTGAGAATCTAGAAAAAGAAAATATGTCTTCGAGCTATTAACGTAAAGCACAGATGTTAAGAAGTTTGTGATGACTGCTAGTAGTTAGCCTTTGGTGTTATGCGATAAGTTCACTGCTCTATCAAGGGAATTGGACTGCGTGTTTGTTAGTAAATGTCTCTTGACTTTGTTTGTTTAATCTTCGACCCTTTGCACAAGTATATATTACTTACTGTGGATTAACATGAGATTATAAGTAAGCACGTGTATCGGAAGCAGTAAACTTAAAGTTTGAAAACCACTATGAAAGAGGCCTAAGTCTAAAACGATTGTAAAATACAATCAAAACGAGCCCTAACAGCGCTGAAGTGACAGAAATTTACGATGAATATATATATATTGAAATAAAAAATACTACATCCTTATTAGGTAACTTTATACGTGTTTTATAGATCAATTAAACAAGACTTTTTGTGTTAATTGTTACCGAAAGTTTTATCTCGTACTAACGTGTACGTATACAAATTTTAAAATGTAACCATTTTGTTGTATGGAGTTTGTTAGTGATGACAACGAGAAGTACTGTTACTTGTGCCTGAAAAGATCGAATTGATTATATTACATCCCGTCTACCAAAGCAGTTGTATCTTAGTATGAACAAGTTAAATAAGCTGTACACACACGTGTATATTTATCATGGCAAAATAGGTCGAATGGACGATCGATTATACTGTCTGTTCTGAACTTCAGATGATGTCTGAGAGTTGTCTGGATCTTGCATTCTAAGAACTTGCAGGCTTTCCTTCACAATGTCGTTAATGGGTATCAATTATAATTCTAGTTGAATCCGTTAGTGATACATGTATGTAATTAAATATGCCCAATGATTCTGGTAGGAATGGAACTCCAGTGGATTTATTCAGTGTAAGATATGTAATGTATATGAATAAATGATAGGTTAAATTAACTGAAAAGTATGTGTGTCTATTTATTTTCCAGTTCATTGTGGGGATGGCAGGAAACTAGTTATGGATGTCACTGTGAAGCCATCAGTGACTCTGAAAGATTTGAAAAGTTTCATGTTTGAGATGGGAGTCAGTATTCATACATCATTCATACATAAAGCTGGCCTGTATGGGTGAATGGCAAGAAATAAGACACTATTGAAAAAGAATAATCTTAAATCTCGTATGGAGTTTGCGAGAAAGCATGTAAAAGATACTGCAGACATGTGGCAGAATTTTTGTGGTCAGACGAGACAAAAATTGAGCTTTTTGGACTAAATTCAAAACGATACGTCTGGCACATGCACAACGGAGCACATCGCCCAGTCAACAACATCCCAACTGTCAAGCATGGTGGTGGTGGCAGCATCATGTTATGGGGATGTTTCTCATCAGCATGGACTGGGAAGCTTGTCAGGATTGAGAGGAAGATAGATTGGGCAAATTCATGTGAATCCTAAAGGAAAACCTGTTTGAGTCAGCCAAAAA